AAAAAAAAAAAAAAAAAAAAATTCCCACCAACTTTGTAGATTTTAGAACTGCAGGTAAAAGTATTAAGCACCCAGCCAGTCAGAGGAGTGTTCCTTGCCAGAAATTTTACTACTCCTTCAGTTTGGGTATTCTTCCCTTGTTCAAAGTGTAAAGAAAGTAAGAGTTGAGTATTGGGAAGATAGCAAGATAGCTTGATCTCAGAAGTTTCAGGCCAGCAAGACCCCATCTCTAATAATAATAATAATAATAATAATAATAATAATAATAATAATATCTTATTAATATAGGTTTATTAAGAAAACTCTAAACGAACCCACTCAGAAAATGAAAAGCAGAAAAAAAGGCCTAGAACACTGATTATAGTAATAGACACACAGCCTATGCATTTGTCCGTGTCATACCAATACTTCTGTGTAGCATTTAATAGCTTAAGCTTAGTTATAAATTTCCCCTTGCAACTTTGTTTACTGTCTAGAAACCAGAGGGATTCAGAAGCCATCGTAATAAAAAAACATGAGTCAGAATGCTTCTAACAAATCTGAAATGTGAAAGCAAAATAACATGCTAGAAGAGCACAGGAGCCACAGCTTAGCAAAAGAAGCTATGTTTTGTTGCATGCTTATAAAGATGAACCAAGCTCATTAGGAAAATGTGACTCTGAACTCATTATTTCATTTGAAACAAAAACAGCGAGTTGTGGTAACACAGGCTATGAATCCCAGTACTTACGAAACTGAGGCTGAAGGGTCACCTCAAGTTCAAGGCCAGCCTGCACTACATAATGAGTTCAAGACCAACCCTGAACTGCATAGACTGCCTCAACCAAAAAAGAAGCATGTACAATCTTTTGGTAGAACTTCCATTAAGTATGGTTGTTTAGGAACTGTGCACCCTGTGAGATCAAGTATAGCGTGACTGGACACCATGAGTCACTGGAAGAGGATGCCCCATACATTCTGAGAGAAGCTGGCGTTGACCACCTGGAGTCCTACCCAGCCATCCCTCTGGGCATCACCGTGTATAACAGAACCAAGGTCCAGAACTACTTCTGGGCATCAGCAAATGGGACATCCAGCACCTGTATGTACGCTTCAAGGGGGACTTCAACCTCTTTGGGTATCAAAAACTGGATGTTTTGCTAATGTGCAGGATCTGTGAGTGCCAAGTCTTTATTAGTGCGGGAGATAACCAGTAGAGATCTGAACACAGGAATAACTTCTCGGTCACACCCCTGCCTAAGACCCTCTGGGTGTCTGGTCCTAGGAGCAAGTGAAGCTGTACCCTGGCAGCTCTACCCGGCTTCAGTGTAAGATGCTGTATCATCATACCAGTGGCCCTTGCCATTTCCAGAGAGCTGTGACACAGCATTAGGAGTTGTCTTAAGTGGGAGTCACACCTGTGGCTGTCCTGGCTAGACCCAGTGGTCACATCAGTCACTGGTGAATGGCAGGAACAAAGAGCACCAAACACTCCCGAGGCTCATAAAGGATAAAAACTGGGTTATGGAATGACACCTCTGGCTCCCTTTTGGCATTGCTGTAATCATGAAGGCAAACAGTCCTTCCTGTGGCCATTCGTTCCCGTGATGGTCAGTGATGACCACAGAGCAGTCCCCGTGGTCCATTTGTTTAGAACCATACCATGTGACACTTGTCTTCATTTCAGAAGCTCTGCGTGCCAAGTACACCTTTCATCCAGCGTGGTTTTGGAATGTGAAGAGAATACTCTTTCCATCAGAGCAGGGGACATTTGGGGTACAAGTAGGAACATGGCAAAGGAGGCTGTGTAGATGGGCCCGTGTCCTGCCTGTACCCTCCCTAGAGTGACCATCGAGGTGGGCAGC